GTGATTTTCATTGTCTATGCTCCTGGTATCACCCAAGATCATCATGTGCATAAATGCACACAATTACGAATGCATAATTGTGTGTGACTGTGAATGTGAATGCGGTCCTGACTTGCCCGGTCTATCGGGCAAGTTTGTGGAATGTGCTATGGGCTGCTTTCCACAGCTCTTCTGTAAGATGGCTGGCCCTCTTCTAAGAGCTCCCTTTCAAAGCTGCAGGGGCTCTTTCAAATCATTACAGAATCCTGCTAGATTTGTGTAGCGCCTTCACACAACACTCTTCAGCGTTCTACTGTTCTAAACGAACAGAATTTCCAAAAGGGAAATCCTTGTGACTTGAGAAAATGCAAAGTAAACGCAGAACAAAGTGACTTCATATAAGCTCTCCTCTGAAAAAGACAATGAACACCTGCTCTTTGATTTAGACAAATGTGATAGTTTCAATTTTCATTTATTTGCTGTTCTTCAGTAGGGAAACTTTTTTATCAAAGGTTAGTGGGATGAGAGTTTTCAGGTCATCCCTGAATAAGACATTGGCTGGTTGAGTAGCTGTTATAGCTGAATTCTTTATCAGAAAGACTGCATGAGGCAGCTGAATATTTTATTGCCTTTTCTCAGTCTAGTTAACAAGGGAGAATAATCCATTGAGAAATGCATAAATACATATTCAACGGATACTGTAGCAATTTAAAAAGTGTTTCTGGAAATGCCATGAGCATTTCATGGATTGTGAGCTCTTTCAATTTTCAAATTTAAAATTTATATCACAACTGTAAAGTTTTGAAGACCTTTTAAAGAAAAAACCTCATTTCTTCCTTAAAACTTGTGTCTGAAACTGATTACCCTCGTGAAACTCCCCTTTATGTAAGGGAAGAAATTTTATAAAATCTAAGGCTTAGAGTTGAATCAAGACCACTTATTTCTTAAATCATATTTATGTATACCTGGCATATACATCCTGGCTTAGACATCTTTTTTATGATTCCCAATTTGTAAGTGGTAAGCGTACAGAGAGTGCCAGGAGTGTATCCGATATTTATGCTTCTCTTGGCATGTTGCTTCAACTCTTTCTCCCAGGGTAAGGGGAGACAAATACCGGAGGCTCCTGCTATGTGTATGACTGATCTATTTTGACACCAGGCAGTCTCTTAAGGCAACCACGAAGAAGCATCCTATTAACTTTTGTCACAGCTCAGGACAATTTGCTACTTTCTAATATTATTTGTTCCATATAATTAATTTTACTTATTTATGCATAATATATGATATTCCTATTTATTACTATTTTCTGGAGAGATTTCAGGTAAAAACTTTATTCCTATAACAAGAATACCATTTCATCTTTATGAGAGTTTCTTTTCCTTTGTGTTGTCCTTCATATACAAAGTGTACCTTACAAATCAAAAGTACTCCTGGTACAAAAAAGCCATTTACTTTATACAGAAGCTCAAGAAAAATACCAATTAGCTACAATGAGATTTTCTTCCTATTTTAGTATGGTTACTGATACTTCTAATATGACTATTTTAATGTTACTACTGAGATATATCTATGTCTTTTTTTCCTTTCTTCATCTGTCCTATAGCGGTGAAAATAACATAGATGGCAACTCAGAATATAGAAAGAAATGCTTGTTATTTATAACTTCACTTGCTAATCTTAAGTTGAATTTGCTTGCTAGTCTTAAATTAGCATTAAAGGCAAAATCGTTATATATCCCCAATTCCCGGAAAACATGTATTTACTTCATGAATCAACTGGAAGGTGCAGGGAAGGCACTAATATAGGACAGCTGATGGGACCAGTCTTAATATTTCTGTATTTCAAAATCATAAGAGACCTTTTGATTCAACTGTTCTTACACAGCAGCAGGCTTATGTTTGGGTGGGGGGTATGTGGTGGCATTGTTTCTGTTATTTCTGTAACGCAAGAGTTTTAGTTCCCAAATTTTCCAATCTTTTAATTGTGACTGAGAAGAAATGGAGCTTACATTTTACACATTTAAAAAATTCCGTTATGTTTCTAATATCTTTTATTAGATAACAGACAATATAGACAATCTGTAAAGCACATATAATTTCTATTTCAGAGGTGAGAAAACTGGGACTCAGGGAAGTTAAGCAAATGCTCATGGTCACGGTTATTAAGACAGAGATGGGATTTAAATGTAGGTCTCTCTGTTATGAAACCCATGTTGTTTCTCTTGTGGGATGCTGCCAGTGACCCCAGAGCCTTTTGCTTTCTTCCATTATTTCTCAGTGCTTTAAATATTTAATCATCCTTTGACATCTCTCTGAATGCGCTCCAAATTTTCTAAGTCCTGGTTGAGAGTCGGGGCCAGATCTGTTTACAGCATAATAAAGGGCAGGTCCATCTCTGGAGGAAGTTCCTACTTGAGGTAGAGAACATCATCTAACACAATTCTCCAAACATTTTACTGAAATGTGGTTAAGATGAATATCAAGGTCAAGCTTAAAGTGGAGCAGCAAGGCCATAGATGCCCCAAGTGGCCATCTGTGGCCCGAGGGGTGTGAGCATTTTTCCTTTTGTCATTGCCTTTGTAACTGTATATGGAGCCACGGGGGTCCAGGCAGCCCCAAAAGGAAATTAAGACTCATCTGGATTTGTCTGATGAGGTTGGGGAGTTGAAGGGCTCAAGGTGATTTGCGTGTGGGCTTATTTGGCTTAAGGAGAAGGTGGAGGTATTAACACTAGAGTCTTTTGGTGGTAGAAATTTCCCCTAGCCTCCCTGTTGTCCAGGGTGCGTGGACCGAGGGTTTGGGGTCAACCTGAGGAAGCTGGAAGTTCTCTGTGAGATTGTGAGAGAAGGGAATAAGGGATTTGTAGAGACTGTGATGTGGTATGGGGGCGAGGTGATCTCACCATCTCTGTGGGGAGCTCAGCATGCTCTGGTACCTGTGACTGGCAGCGTTGGGTGCACCAGGGCCTGTTTTAAAGAGCACGGAAGGCACTATCAGCAATGGTGGTGGGCTGGCATGCTGGTGAGGAATGTGAGAGCCTGAAGAAGGAATGCCCCAGGACCCACAAACCATTAGAGAGGCACGCCTAAGACCGCTTCTCAGACTCCCAGAGATATCCAGGGCAGACTTTATTGGTGTAGGGACTTTATGGGGGTGTGTGTGGGAAGGAGGAGGTCAGATTTGGAGTATTTTAACTCTTTCCCTGACCACTTCTGCATCTATGATATGGTGAGCCAAGGGGACATTCGGGTCCTAACTTATGGAGACTGTCAACCCTCTCAAAGGAAAACTTCAGTGTAACAAAAGTTACTGGCTGGAGAATTGGGAAGCTTATTAATCAGAGGATTATGGGTCTCTATGTTGCGAAGGACCCCCATTTTCTGGCCGTAGGTTGACACTGGTGATAGAGCGAAATCACAGGTCACGGGACTTCTGGTACTTTGCCCTCAAATAATGACTCAGTTCCTGCTTCCCACCATCTTCCACACTCCCTTCAGAGGAGACAGAGTTCCCACTTCTTAGGGAATATTTTTAAGACACTTAGACCAATAGTCTTGTCTGCTCTCTGTCGTGTGCCTTATGTAACCAGAAGTTATTACTGTGTCAGAATACGTTAATGAAGAACGTACCTGTAAGTCTGCAGTTCTTGCTTTTGATTGCTTTGTGTATGTGTGTGCCTCCTTAGCTTAAAATTCCTCCCATGCAGTTTCTGTGTAGAAGTTATTTTCTATTGGTCTAGTTTGGACCTTAAATATTTAATAGAGCATAGCTTCAATCATCTCATTAGGAATTCTGTTGAGTTTTTGAGAAGTTTATCCAGCTGATGTCCTGCTGACCCCCCATCAGTACATCTACTAACTCCACTAGGGATCTAGTATAATTATAGACTCAACAGAAAACCTAAAATAAAGAGGAAGAGAAAACGTTAGGATCACACTGATATATGTGTGGGTGGAAACCCAAGCTGTGTGTCTCTCTTCTCAGTTCCAGACACTGCGTGCAATCCCCAGTCACATTTTTAACACACATTCCTCCAAACCCGACTAAAAGGAATGATGTATTCTTAGACTACCTGAAACCAGGCCTTTAGAAATATGGGTGAGAAACCCATGGTGAGACAACGGCAAATGATTGTAGGATAAAAATGAAATGGCTGTTTATTTCAGTTATACTTTATATCAAAAAAAATTGTCTCTCTTTTTTGTAAGGCAAGATAATTAACCCATTTCCCAGAGTATATTCTGCGAAATATCAATTCTCCAGATGCTAAGTAGAAACCAATTTTTCAGAGTTTCATGGCCAAATAAGTTTGGGAAGTACTGTGACACAAGGCAAATCACATTTCTCCGCTGCTGGACTTCTCAAGACTTTAATAAGCTAAGAGTTTCTGTGTCTCCCCTGGCGGGATAGATAGCTCACACACACTCTCCTTTTTCTGCAAGGTCATTTTTAGTGGCAGTGAAACCATTTTGAGAGATGTGGGTTCGCTCGCTGGAGAAGCACTTACTAGGTATGACTCATCCAGGCAGATTTCGGGATCCAGACAACTCACAGATGAACTCCGTCTTCCCACTGAAATTGTTGGCAAATTAAACAGTGACGGGATTCTTCATGGCTGAGTCCAGAAGTAATTTACATCTAAATTAAATAGTTTCCAAAAAGTTATCTGGAACAAATGCCTTTTAAATTTGAGATACTGGTTTTATGTTCATAACAGCTCCCTAGAAAAGCAAGCTTTGAAATTAAAACTTAAACTGTTGGCCTGAAGAACTTACTGTCTTCTTAGGAGGTTTAGGGAACAAAGAGGATATTTCCAGACAGTGATAGCAGAAGAGAGATCGGAATTAGCACTGATGTTAAGTGACATGTTTTAGGAACTCTCTCTCTACAAAGGAGTCAGTTCCTCTGTGTGAAAGCTCCTAAAATTTTCAGATCTCCATCCTGGTGCATGTTCCTCTGGGCTAAGATGTGGAATTTCCAAGTTCCTCTTGATGCTTGACTAGACTGGCTTTCCCACAGGTGCTGTATGCCAGGCTGGGCTCAAGACTCACCTGCTGGAGAATTTGCAGACATAGCCCAATGGACCAAAGGAACAGAACTTGATGGTGTTGAAAGGCAGCTGAAGTGGAAATTCGTTTGAAAAATCCATTATTTATGAAATGATGAAATCCAGCCATTTGTGACAACATGGATGATCCTTGAGGGTATTACGCTGAGTGAAATAAGTCAGAGGGAGAAAGTCAAATACCATATGATCTCACTCATAAGTGGAAGATGAAAACAGTGACAAACAAACACATAGCAATGGAGATTGGATCGGTGGTTACCATAGGGGAAGGGGGCCGGGGAGGGCGAAAGGGATGATTAGGCTCACATGTGAAGGGATGGAGTATAATTAGTTGTTGGGTGGTGAACATGATGTAATCTACACAGAATTTGAAATATATTACAATGTACATCTGAAAGCTATATATTGTTATAATCCAATGTTACTGCAATTAAAAAAATAATAAAAAATTAAAAAAAGAAAAAATTCTAACTCAAAAGCATGATAATCAAGAAATATTCAGAAAATCAGGCAAATGTGCTCTTTAAAATGATACAAGAGCGAGAATACCACAGGCGTCTTCTTCCTGCATCTCTGAGGATGGGTCTTTGAGACGCACGAACACTGGCCAGTTTGGAGAAAGTGTGACAATCCAAGCTAGGAGCACGGATGGAAGCTATGGAGCCATCACTGTGGGCCCTTCAGCAGGAAGGGGCAGAGAAAGACAAGGTCACCCACCGGCTTTAAAGGCCCTGTGTACCCCACCAGAAATTCACCGCAGGGAAAGCCAGGAAAATCGCCTCCATCTTCAACCTCTCTGATTTCTCATTATAGTTTTCTACTTTTTCCCTTCCCAGGTCATAAAATATAATGTAAAAACAAGATGGATTGTAGCAAAGCATCATCTAGGTATATAACTAATTCCTACAATTTAAGACCTTTAGACTTCCTAGAAATAGGTCTCTCACTTTACTACATAAAAAACTAAAGTCAAATAAAAACTGGGCTTTACAGGCGGTTCACAATTAATTAAAATCGTGACCATTTCCAACACTCATATCTGAATAGTGTCATTCTTAAAACTGCTTAGGCGTTGTCTTGTGTTTTTCCAGAAGTTAGTGCTATAAAAAATTACAGGTCACATGGAATTTTAATTTTGAATCACAAGGAAGAATATTTTGGCCATGATTGAATTATTACTTGGTTTACTTGAACACTGGCTCAAAGGAGAAGAGGGAAAGGGAAAGATGTTCAAGGTTTTTGTACTGAAACAATTGTGATAAATATTATGGTGAAAGATTAGAATTCTGTTTAATATGTGTAATAGAAATTAAGAGAACACTAACACTTTTGGTTATCATTTTTCATTGATTTTTCTAAATGTAAGCTTGAAAAGCTGTTGACATCTGAGAATAAATAATGCAAGTATGTTTGAATTTCTATACACTTCACACATTACCAATTGAGTATATTTCACGTGATGACAGCGCTGGTCAAGGATTAAGGAATACTTGAATTGACGGACAATTTGATTTTAAATATAGGCATAACATCAAGGTGCATGGACACATTTTATAATTGTTTTTATATCACTCAAGAAGTGCTGAATGAAGCTTTGGGTAAGTGCACAGGGGACAGAGAAAAGCAAAATTTAAGGTCCATTCTTCAAGGACCTTATGGCTCAGATGGAAGAAGAAACAGAAGTTCATGGAAAGTAAAACTTTTAACAAAAAGAGTAAATGTAAAAGGCAAGATGAATAATAAATAAATGATTTGTTAATGGAGTTCAGAGGAGAAAGAGGACTTCACAGCAGTGGTTGGACTTGAATCTGACATTAAAGAATGGGTAAGATTGTAATATTTGAAGAGGATCTCTCCAACGTACAGCACATGAGGGAGAGTGAAGATGGTATGAAAAAGATTGCAGCAACAGGACATTATCACTGCAATTCAGGGGCTAATGAGTAATATAGTTTGTTTGGAGCCAGAATTTCTATAGGTCAAAGAATGGAGAGCCACAGAGCTAAAAAGGAAAAACAAGGCTGGATCATGGAGGGTCTTGAATGCTAGACCAAATGTGAACTTTCTAATGTAAGATTTGAGAGCTCAGGGATATGATGACATCGGTTGTTCCTAGGAAGAGTGAGTGCTCTGTGGGAGAGGAAGGGAAGGCGTGGAAGCAAGGAGTACAGCTACTAGTCTACCAGTTATAGCTGACAAGCCTCTGGACCCGCGAGCTTGGTAGTGGTAGTGAAAGAATGGGAGAGAAGCAGAGATCAGAGTGTGGTTGGAAGTGAGAGAGAGAAGAATCGGTAATAAGTCATTCTGAGAGTGCCATGAGCTGCTCATCTTTGTGGGCTATTTTTCGCTAGTTTGTTTTGTTTTGTTTTTGCCTCTCAGTACCTTAGAAATTAAAGTTTCAGTACTTTTTAGCCATGAGTTGACACACTCACTGCATCTGAGGGCTAGAAGTAAGATCTGGTAACCTATGATCAGGTCTTCTGTTTTTAGTAAAGTCACAGTTGTTTATCCCTATTTTATAGACTTAGTAATTAGAAAGCAGGGATACTGAGAAGGAGTGACGCTTGCAGCAACACACAAGAAGCCAGTTCTCTGGGCTCTGAAAGTGCTGCCCTGCCACATTGCCTTGCCCCAGCAGAAGAGTTATTACAGACAGGAGCAAACATCTTAGGTTGGTTTTTTAAACGTGTGGGTATCAGTATCTAGAATTTTATTACAATAACTTAAAATATAAAATTAAAATCACAGCATGCTCAGCTACATAGTTCCATTCCAATGCAAGGCTTTTGCATAACAAAAGGATTTGCAGACAATTGTCTATTTCAAACATATATATTTGTTAGCAATTTCATGCAAACTTAGCTTAGTCATATCTCTCTATATATCTAGCTCCCTAAATAAAAAATGTTATAATCATTTCTAAGTGAATTCTTTCTTAAAAAGCTAAAACAAATATCTCAATCTTATTTAAGAAAGACTGTGAAATAGGTTCTAAATTTCTCAAAAGTTCTTCACAGTGCTATCCTATTATTACAACCTCAATATCCTGTGTTAGCAACACTCATTTAACTAGTCACATTTTAGTTTTATGGCAGAGCAGTGAATGTAGAAGGCACATAAAAACCACAGCCAAATGGTTGACACCTGACCTTTAATCAGCTCTTGGACTCTCCTTCAGTAACACATCACCTCCTCTTCTACACACACAGTGGGTGTGTCAACCGCTTCTTAATTTACTAACCATCAGGGTATTGCTTAAGAAAAGAAATTGCCCACTTTCTTGATCCTGGGTGCCTTCCCCACTCCTCTTTTTCCTTTTTCCTTCTACCATTTATATTATTTTCTGCTGTTTAGCCTTGCAAATCACCACTTCCTTTGTGATTGAAATTAAGATTGGAGCCTCAAAAAAGGGTGACTTCTTAAACTGTCACAAGACCAAGAACGAACCAAGTTCTTTTTGAATTTTGAAACTTCATTATCACAAATAATATAGTTCTCAATTTTTACTAATAGATAAATAACTATCTGACCTGAATTAAAACAAAAAGATGGCAGGAAATGAAAGAAATATGGATGGAATTAGTAGGGAGGGACCTCCGAAGAGGCCTGACCACCCATCATTTGACAGGAATGAAGGTTGAGAAGTTTGGAGGATGTGACTAAGGTCACGTGGCTCCTTAGGGTTGAACAAGGACCAGAACAGTCCTGGGCCCCAGCACTGATTCCTTACGGCTATGCCCCCCAAACATGACATGTCTGTCAGAAAGAGAATGCTGGGCCTTAAATATACACAGACTGAATAGGAATATCATACTGTTCATGCTAAACCTGGAACTGGATCCCATCTTTGAAGCAAATTTCTTGATTACTGCCCCTACTTCAAAAACTGGCAATAATGTATGGCCCCAAACATGTCTCCTCTGCCTTGTCTTGTTCTCATGGGATGAGAAAGAGCATGAAAAGTCTGGAAACCTGACCTGACTCAGTCGATAAAAAGGCTTTTGTCTGTGAACCTGACCACAAGTGATTCATTAATAGCTGATTGAAAGATTTTTGTTAAGAATACCTCCTCCTCCCTTTTACAGAAATAAACAATTTGAAACAAAACCAAAGTATAAGATGGAATCAATTCCCACTTCAAAATAGTGCCGTCTACTGCATGCAAAGGTGTTTATTTCCTTATGACAAAACATTTGTTAGTTCTTCCATAAGTATCCCCTTAATTAAATTCACCATTCTTTTGGTCAAAAATGCAGTAGGAAAAATTCTTTACAAAACGTCCTTCGTGCATTCTAAATGAAGAGTTCAAGTAGTTAAAAATTTTAAAAACCTCTTAATTTTTTATTTCTAGCTGATGAATAATTATACTCTATTTTAATTTCAGGTAGTGTTGTGTTTTCGTTTATTAAAGTTCAAAAGAAATTAATAATTCAACTTTAGATTTTGATCATTTATTCTTTCATACTAACTAGAGTACTAACATTTTTCAAAAAGTGCTTGCTATATGTGCATTGTATTTTATTTCCATAGTGTTCTTTCCTAAGAATCATTCGTAATGTTTGACCTTTTAATAACTGACTTCAATTCAAAGAAGAAAAAGTAGTGGCATTAAATGGTATTCAACATTTATTAATATAGCATTTAAACTCAAGGAAAATGCCAGACTCCAAAATTCTGACAATGAAAATTCATCTTAATCAGCCTTTGTCTCTGCCCTTTGTAAGAATTCAAATCAACTGGGACATCTATGTTAAATAATCTGAAATATAGCGAGTAGTGCCCATCTGTGAAGTTAAAAGTTTTTTCACTGGGGGCTGGCCCCGTGGCCGAGTGGTTAAGTTCGCGTGCTCCACTGCAGGCGGCCCAGTGTTTCGTTGGTTCGAATCCTGGGCGCGGACATGGCACTGCTCGTCAAACCACGCTGAGGCAGCGTCCCACATGCCACAACTAGAAGGACCCACAACGAAGAATATACAACTATGTACTGGGGGGCTTTGGGGAGAAAAAGGAAAAATAAAATCTTTTAAAAAAAAAAAGTTTTTTCACTGTATTTGCTTTCTATTTTGTAGAAAAAGATTGGCATCCTCTACCTCTTCAACTTGAGGTATGAGAGGATCAACAGATGAAAACACACATCATCACCAAGGGCTTGAAATTCTAGA